GAGGGGTCCCCCGTTTTCCTTGGTTTTTTTTTTTTTTTTTTACACCCAGTTTCAGTTCCAGCTGATCTGCAGCCGTAAAGGGACGAGTACTTGCCGTAGCGTTTCGGCTACATAATCAGTTTCTCAGTTTGTGGAGTCCACCGGTCATCCAGGGTGAGTCATCGTCTGTCTGAGGCATTCGTCTCACTCATCACTATTTCAATTCAGTTTCCCAGCATGCATAGAGAGGCACTGTTTTCCATGCATCAACACCTGAAACACTTCCCTTTTTTTTTTCTCTGAACAATAAAAACCAATGTGTTTTAGCATCATTCAACTTCAGCTGCATGCAGGGCAGCCTGGCCAGAACGCAAACGCACCTCGGGGGTTAGAGCCCAGTGTTAGCCACACAGTCAAGCATCTCATGTTCCACTTGGAGACTTCAAAAGCCGACCAAAGGCCTGCCATTTTATAGGGTTCATCATCTGTGTGTTTGCTCTGGGCTTGAACGCAGCACCAGTCACCTCAAAGGCATTGTCTCCATGTGGGCTCAATAAAAACGAGGAAAAAAGGAAAAAAAAAAAACAGATGTGCTCCTGTCTCTAACATCACAGCTGCCTGCCATGCAGCCACCCTCCTCTGGGGAACACTTCCTCAGCACTCGCATAAAAGTTAGATTGTTAAATGAACAAGACTTCAAAAGACAAGATGGAAATCTTTTCATAATGGTTAAAAAACAAAGATGTGATGCATTCCATTAGTCAGTTTTTTTACTATATATTTCCTTATAAATCTGTACAGCCCCCGGGTGTCACTTTGAATTCTTCTTCAGATGAAATGGGTATAATTTTGTCAGCACTAAAAAAAGGCACAGTGTGGGGGCCGACGGGGGGGAGGTTATGTGTCAGAATCTAATATTATGTCACATATTTTTAAAACGACACTGCGCTCTCTTGTCGCCCTGTGATTCACCACTTCCACATCAGATTAGTCTTAAACACAGGTCTGTAGTTTTACACCGATCGTCACTCAGTGTCAAACACTTCAAAACCAGCAATCTTGTTGGGATGACGTGAGTAAACGAGGACAGGAAGAAACAAATACACAACATGACATGAACAAAAAAAAAATATTTAAACAAATTTGGTTTTTTTTTTTCAAATTTTCAGTGGAGGAAAGAAAACCCTCCGGGAGCAGGCAGGAACAGGAGGCACACACCAACCTGAACTTACCATCTTCTGGGAGTACAAAACATGGAGGGAGAAAGGGAAGGTAGTTATAAAATAAAGATGAATGTTCAAAAATAAGTGGAAAGAACAGGAGAGAAGTCATGACTAGGCTTCATGCTAAAATAATGGGAAACAGACTTTTTAACATCTGCACCTGGAACCGATTATAAATGTTATACATAGTTAAGAATAAACTTGATGCTGCACATAACTATATTTGATTATATTTAATGGACAGTTTAATGTGATTACATCACACCATAATGTAATATATGCATTTTTTTTAACCGTTTTTTTTCTAATTCCAACTTCTCCTTTAAATCACAGTTTCCTCATCAGATCAATAAGACAGGCCGTACCTTGATTTCGATGTTTCCCACTTTGGCCGTGGAGCGGATGATGGGCCTCCCGACCAACGCTGGGAAAATGTGCTCTGGGAAGTTGGAGCCTGCATAGCCACACTTGACAAACTGAAACAAAAACGGAGAAGAAGAAGAAGATGAGCAGAGTGTGAATGTGGTTTCACGGAGTGGCTCGAATGACACGTCTGGCTTTTTAAAACAATATACCACTGCAGCTTCAAGAACATTCAGACCTTCAGGCGTGTGTGTGTTTCTCACATTGTATGTGCAGAGATGAATAAAGTGCCAGGTTACAGACAAAAAAAAACACCTCTAGGCCAATGTGCTAAAGAGACGCAGCAGGAAGACGACACAGACGGGGAAAGAGATTGTTTGGTTAATTTATTGGTATTGACATGAAGGTAATGAAGAATGTGGCAATACGATATGTCACAATACAGTGCCAACGATACAATATATTGTGATATAGTGTGATACGATAGGCATGACGATATATTGGGGTCTTAATTGTAGGAAAACTGTCGGCATAGTAAACACACGAGGCTTAAAAACATGACGATATTGTTCACAATTATAGTAAAGTTCACTATATAATTCCATGCTCTGTTCAGCTGTAGCTCTGCACAGTCAGACTGTGGTCTCGGTGTAAAACACATGCAGCCAGTGTTTTTGAACGTCTCATAAAAACCTTCTGCAGTCTTTTCCGCTTAGACTTTCAGTTCAACTCAAGATTAATTCAAAAGGCTGTTTTTTTTTTCTTTCTTTCTTTCCACTCCACGTGCTTGAAAGCCACATCTCAGATGCCTCGTTAGTCAGCAGCACGCTGAGGCAACATCCTCTCAAAATGCTGACAAGATTTACACAGGAAATCCCTCCACAGCACAGAGAGACAATATCACCTGCATATGTGAACTTAAAAAAACAACAAAAAAACACACCTTTTTTTTAACACCAGCCACTAACAAAACCATAAATACACTGAGGCTGTGACTCAATCATGCAGACACACCTACTTTGCAAAGCAGCTGTAATGCAGTGTCTTATTACAGCGGCCGCACAACTTCAACTGTTTGCTTTACTTTGTTATCTAACCAGAAGATATGAGAAAATTACCCAGACTCAGGAAAAACACACACACACACAGAAAACCCCAAACCAGAGCTCTGTAGTACTGCTGTGTCAGCAAAAGACTGGTAAAATCTGGTGAATGCAAAACCATTGTATAAAATCTGGCCCTGGGACTAGCATGAACAGTTTCTGTGTGGAACTAATTGTCCTCCAGTTTCTCCTGTGTAATTCTGCAGTGATTATTTACATCTGATCTGAAATGTATTTATCATTTAGTACCATTTAATATCTTCCTAAATTCAATTGTGGCCAATTATGATTTAGTTACATTTAGTTTAGTAATTGAATATTAATAAAATAAAACAAAATTTGCCTCTTAACTAGGAAAATATTCACACCATTTGCCAAACCTGATTGGCTAGTTAGGCTCAGTTGAGTTACCCAATCAGAGGAATAATCTGGAGGATGTGTGTGTCAGTGTGCAGACTGCTGCATGCTTCACTAACCTCTCCGGTACATGCTACAACATCATATACAATGTGGCTCTGCAAGAGCAGCAGAGCATGATGTTTTTTGTTTTTTTTTTTAAATCAAGAAGGAAGCTCCATGATACTGTATTGACTCGATCCCCATGTGGCCTGTGAGCTGCCAGTCTGTAGACTTCTGGGCTAACCTTTAGCTATCCCTGGACTTAAGTTTAAATCTACACAATAGGTCTTTTTCTTAAGCAATAAATCTGACTATGTATGCAAATATATAAGATATACATCAAATAAATCCACAAATGAAAGGCACAGGTGGAATTCTAGAGATTACTTAATATGATTTAAGTACGATTCATTTTACATTATTATATAATTTTCAATCATTTCAGGGTTCATTTACTCAGGCAAAGCAGAAAACTAGTTCATAGGTTGACACAATTCAAGTTAAATGACAAGAGGGAAAAGAGTAGGGAAAAAGGGAAGAGTTTTAAAGGCACATTAGCAACTAGGCTGTAAACATTGGTGACATTCCTGTGTGTGCATTTATGACTTCGGGAGGAAAACGCTAATTTGAAGGTGGTTTCCTTCTTTTACCTGACACGGCCTGGCCAACCCTACACCCACCTGAGGCCCTGGTTCGTTTCCCAAGTCACTAAATATTTGTGCTACTTTTGGACTCAGTCGCTAACATATTATAGTGTGTAAAATCCGCGTCATTTGGTTCAAGATATCACTGTACTGGATGACAGAATAAAGCAGTCAGCTGTTAATGCTAATATGCTAGTTAGCTGCCGGAGCTTCACGGCTACAAACGAGCCGTCAGTGAATAGAGATGAATGAGTGGCAAAGGGCGCTGAAAAAAAGCTATGAGTTTAGTCCGCAAGCTGACATTAACATCCAGGAAATAAGCTTATTTCTTTAAAAGGTCTGTGTGACTGAAAATGAATAGGCTCGGGTTAACTTAGCCACCCAGTTCATGCTAACCTAGCCTGGAAGCTGACAGCGCCACTTCCTGTTTCAGCAAAATGGTTCCACACAAACGACAGCGTCCCCACAAAACCTTTGTCTTTGTTCTTTATCTTTCTAAAACAGAGACGGTCCAATTTTTCCAACTCACCCCGGTTCCATTGTCACACACCACTACTTTCCTTCCCTGGCTGTCCATTATGTCAAAGCCCAGTCGCCGCTGAACCTCCCTCAACTTTCTTCGACAAGCCGGAAGGAAGACACACCAACCCGGCAGAGAGGAGGAGGAAAAGAGCGGCGCTCATCCGGTGACGGAGTCGATCAAATGAGCGACACTCCCAGCTCCTGCATAGCAAAGCATTGGTTGTAATATGATGCAAATGTGACGGGGAAAAGTGGTCAATATTAAATGTCATAAATCAACAACCATATTTCCTCAAACCTACGAGTTTATTTTCATTTTTTTCTCTCTCAATTTGGCGCTAAAACCTTATTGTAAAAGATATAAAAGAAAAATTGAATCAGGTTAGTCAGATCATTATTCTTTATTTAAGTATTGACAGGCAAAACATTGAACAAACTTTTAATAATTTAATTTAAAATTACATTTTTCATCAATAAAACGTCTTTAAATACTTGTTTTTGAAAGTTCTTCAGCCAGAAATGCACACATTCAGTGACAACAACAGGGGTCGCTGCTCCTGTTTTTTGTTGGAGTACTGCCCTGGAAAACGTTGGGAAATTCCAGCTCTACGTAGGAGACTTAAGACCTTTTTTTTTTAAAGCTGTGCTAACTTTAATTCCAAGTAAATTCGCTGACTGCTCTCGATTTAAAATGATCTCATGTCCGTTTGTTATACTGGTTTATACCTACAAGTGGCCAACAGGTGGAGTAGTTTGAACCAAATGTCTGTGTGTTGAAGAGGAATTACTCTAAAACTGAAGACTCTTTAGGGACAAGGATGCTTGGGAACATAAGGACCGAGGCCCTCATGAAGGACAAGTTGGGGAGTTTAGCAATCATCGTTCTGGCCTCTGAACTCAGCTTTTCTTCTTGCTTTGGTGTTCTGATTCAGAGCAGAAACAAAAAATTAAAAATTGCATTTTATTTATTTATTGTTGTAATCACTGCAGACAGATGCTGACCTGACTGAGACGCTGGTTTTCTCTGCAGCAGACATCAGGCGGTTCAGAGTGTCCTCTAGGTGGCAGCTGTTAGCCTTGGTTTCCAGTTTGTTCATGGTCAGTTCGTACAGCTCACGGTCAACTCCTTTTGTAATGTGTCCATTAAAAACATTATATCACAGAGTGTCAGAAGTGTCATAAATACAGAGAGTGTGGTGTAAAAAAATAAATGTACAAATTTAACTTAGATTTGTCTGAAGATAAGTTAACAAAACCTAAATTTCTGTCCAGTTCCATGACTCACCTGGTGGGGGGCTGTTGCTGCTGCTGGGTCTCTTGTCCTCTCCATCATCACAACCAAAATAATCCAAGTTGACAGCAGGGCAGTCTGTGCTGGCAGGGGTAGACAGCAGGTAAGAACTACCGTAGGGTGGTCAAGACGTAGGAAGTTAGATTACATTAATCACTGTTGTTATCACTCCCCTTCTGTGAACCCATCCGTCTCTTTGACTGCGCACTTCCCAACCATGTTGGAAACCTCCCTAATACTTGGATATAGTTCTTAACGGTACTTACATACAGTATTTCTCAATTATAAAAAGGCACAGAAGTATTAATGTGTCAAGAAACTGACAGTCAAAGAAAAGAAAAGTGAAACAGGTTTCAAGAAGACAGAACAGCAGAACAAGTGAACAGCAGGAAATCAAGCCATTTATTTCAGTAGGTACAGGTTCTTACTGCAGTGCATCGTATCTGAAAAAAAAAATTCTTTGGGGAAAAATTAAAGTTTCTTCCGGAAGTAAGTGCTGGCATAAAGGCACAACTTATGGTGAAACACAGAACTGCGCTGAGCACAGCTGAAGAAGGTTGGATCGTCATTCACACCATGCAGTTGTTTTGGAGTTTGTTCTACGTGCAAATATGAGTTGGAGAAGTTAACAAAGACACTGATTCCACTAAACTGACTAAATTCTCACAGTTCTCTTCTGCTTAATCACTAGTCTGGTGCAAACAATTAAATTCAAGGGTGGCAAGTTTGAATCCCAAGTCCTGTCAGGACTGTGGTGTGTTGGCCAAGAATCAGTAACACATTGGTACGACTACAAACAAGTGCTTTACATTAAATATACAGTGAGATTGTAACGAAGCAGTTAAAGGTATAAAACGCAAATAATTACTGACTTGAAGCTAAAAAAACAAAAACTAAAAAAACTCTGGTCGTAGCCACAGGAGGGGAAACTGTAGTCAATCACGACTCAAACAGTTACTACAGCACTGAAATAAGTGTATAGACAATTATGAGGATTGAGTTATTTCCCTTTAACCCAGTGTTTGTCCAAAGTGCTGCATCAGTAACACAAACAGACTTTTAGAAAGTCAGATCACAGTGTTTCCATGTTATTAACAAATATTACACAGATCTTTCTTTTTGTCCCGGTTCACAGACTTAGTTTCTTCTACCCAAAAATTAAAATTTGATTATTTACAAAAATTAAAACAAAATCCAATGATTAGTTAAGCAACCATGAGAGATTCTATACCAGACCTTTTTACCAGAAACTATCATTTCTACTGAAAAGTACAAAACACAAGATCGTGTTGTAAAAGTGCAAAAATGTGTATGAAAAGTGTGTGAAACACTTAGGTACTTGGCATCAGAACTAATACTGAAAAAGGTTCAGCTTCTTGTAGTATATACTGAGATAAACGACTGAAAAGTAGCAGCGAGAAAAGATGAAACATTCTGGAAACCAATACAGAGATCGTGACGTCAGAGCAGAGCTCCCCCCCAAGACTGAAGTCATTGGCACTGGTTGATATTTTTCTGTAGAAAATCAACTCAATCCAAACATGTTTTATCAGGTGTTGAGGAAAACAGCAGCGTAAATTAGACAAAGGAGTCATGCTCAGGAAGAGGTGAGGAGGAGGAGCCCAGAGTGGACAGTCAAAGGTTTTGGCTTATGAGAAGCAGCCGTGTGAATGCTGAAAGTCGACTAACTCCACCCCCTAGAACTGGGGGGCTCTGCGAGGGGACATACCGTCCTGAGCGCTGGTAAGGCCGCGGCTGCTCCTCTCCGGCTGTTTGGAGGAGAGCGTCTCCTAAGGAGAAGGTGACAAACGTCATCATCACACTTTAGATTCACATGTTCATCTGTGTTCCTCCAACCATACCTGAAGTTGTTTCACTGAGGGTTGTGGTTTGGTACCAGGACCTGGAAGACCATCTGTGTCTGATCGATTTCCTGGCACAGAATCTTTGGTGGGTTCACGTATTCCCTGCAGGATCATATTAAAAAAAATAATGCATTAACCTCCAAAATTTAATTAGTAAAATGATAAAACTGGAATAAACTGGAATATACAGTTTAAATCAGATAAATTTGGACGAATGAATAATGGCAGTGTTTTTTCGACCGCCCTGGGAAAAAAAAAAGAAAAAGAAAATAACGTCCTGCTCCTGTGGTTTGTTTAAACTCACCTTGTCTCTTTTGTTGACACTGAGGCACCTGAGCAGAGTCGTGTTTGTATGGGAACCAGGCCACTGGAACTGAAGGCCCAAAGCACCGGTGACATCTTGGTTGGGCCACCAGAGGCCGCTCTGCAGCCTGAACGGAAGGGTGGGAAAATGAAACTTCAGTACAAGAAAAACAACAACAACACAGAGAGTGTGGGCTCTGCTCATCAATAATGAAGACGACCTCAGATCAGGCATCTGGGTGAAGAGCAGAGCCCCGAGGGTCAGCGTCTCCACGTCCTCCTCCACAGCTGCGACCCCTATGTCAGGGAAACTGGACCAGAGCAGTTGATGAACTCGGCAGGAAAATGAAGTCTGGTCGGGGGAAAAATAAAAAGAGAAACCTAATGGAGAAGTGCATTTAAAAATAAGTCACTGGACCAGAAAAACTAATAAAAACTGTGACAAACTCTGAAAAAGACTGTTATTATTTTAATGTTTGTTAATGGTAAGTTAAATAAAAAAATGAATTAAAAACAGCACAGCTTCTTCATGACAACACTCCAAATCAGATGTTCTCAAACTTTTTCTGCAGCCTGCTTTTGTGGACACAATTTTTAGAAAAATTGAAATGAATTTGCCTTGCAGCAACCCCTATCGTAGTGTGTCGGTACTGCAGGGGTTGCAGTTTTTAATTAGATAATTCTTTTTATCTTTGAAAGCTTTATCTTGTGAGTAGGCAATGGCAGCAGTCTACGGATGGGGGCGCTATTACACCCTGTATATTTTCCCAGTCTGTCACAGGATCAAATGTAGAGACAAACAACAAGGGGGGAGGGGGGGGCACAAACACAGCAGGTGCAAGCAGCACTGCTGCCACCGTGTGGCCCCTTTGATTTCCACTAATATCCTACCTGACAACTGTTTCTCCTTAAAACTCCACACTCTTCGATGCCGTCTTGACGTCCTTCAGAGTCCCCGTCTGTCTGTACGCTTCTGTCTCCTCCGTCTGTCCAAGGCTGTTCCTCCTCCCTAGTTCTCTGACCGGGGAACTCTGCCCAAGAAGTGTCTCCATCGCCCTCTGTAGGCGCTGAGCAGAAATCAGCAAAGCTGTCACTCGGTGGTAGACCCCCGACACTGGGCTCACATTCAGGATCACTGTGTGCTTCAGATACTTTGTCGTCGTCGTCAGCAGAACTATCCCGTTCACATGACGAGGTGGAGGTAGCAGCATGTTCCTGAGTCACTGACTGGTCCCCGCAGTGAAAACCTTTCTCTTCCTCACTTTGGCAGAGGTTTGCCATGCTAGTGTTATCCAAAGAGTAGGGATTTCCACAGTGTCCCAGCTCGTCGCCCTCATCGTCCGTCTGGTCCCAGTCGGTCTGATCGTCGTGTGAAGCCAGAGACGAAACATTGGGTTCCATGTCTGCAGAGACGCCATCGAAGGAGAAGTCGTCGCAGAGAGACGCCAGGTCCTCTGAAGCAGAGTCATACACGCTTGTTCCTGTTTTCTTCTCCGCGTCTTCATTCTCCTCAACCTCGGAGTTGGTCAAAGATTTGTCACACCTAAAGTCTCCGCAGCGCTCTCTTTGTTCCTCTACATCCTCCGGCTCCTCACATTCCAGACCTGCTGCGGCTTCCTGAGGTTGACGTTGGTCCTGAGATGGTTTCACAACAGCTGCACATCTTCTCTCACAGTGATTGATGTTGGTGCAAACGTTATCGTAAGATCTGGGCTCGGAGTCCATGATAACATCGCACACTCGTTCCCCAGGGTCGGTCCCTTCTACCTGGGGGGCCCTCTGTTCTGTGGTAGCTAACGGAGAGAAGCCGCAGCACCAGGGGTGAGCCGCCTGCTCTGCAAACACCGAGAAATCAGCAAAGCCATCGTCCTCCTTGGAAGAGAAGCTCTCTACTTGAAAAGCATCACAAGGTCCAAACCTGCGATCTCCTTTAGCGTATCCGTTCGTGAGACGGGAAGACAAATCGTCCATAAAGCTCTGTCCCTTCATATTCACCTGTTCTCTACAGGAGCCTGGGACGGAGCTGAGGGATTTGGGTTGATCAACGGGGGAGTTAGACGACTCTCTGAGGCTGCCTGGTGAGATTTTGGACTTGGGTAAGTGTGACGAGGAGCAAGAAACTATGACGGGAAATCCACCAAAGTCGCCAAACTC